TGGCTTGGTGTTGTCAGCACCACGCTCAGCCAGTGAGCAAACCGGCCATCCCTATATGGGATCCGAACCCGGGGCCTTGGTGTTATCAGCACCGCACTCTACCGAGTGAGCCACGGGCCGGCCCAACCTTTTATTTTTTTAATTAAATATTTCAACATATGGAAAAATATTGAGATAGAGGGGACAACCAGGTACCTGTCATCCAATTCCTGAAAGCCAAACGTTTTGCAGTACTTATTTCAAATTGTTTTTAAAAACGTGGGTAAGATGGAAACCTCCTGTGAACTTGCTTGCCTGTCATTTCCCCCACCTTCTCCCTCTCTTTTCCTTCTTTCCTGGAAGTGACCTCTGTTGACACTTAAGTGTTTGTCAGTGTGTTCTTTGTGGGATAAAGGTATGGTGTCTGTATTGAATAAACTCATTAAACCTGCAATTAAAATTTGCTATTTTTTTTTCTGTTTATTTGATGAGCCTACTTGACATAATGACTTGGATGCGGTTTTACTTTATTTCCCAGTGGTAATTTCTTTATTTTTTTCTGATTACAAAAACAATGTATGTCTGTGGAAAAATTTAAAACACAAGAGTTTATGAAATTGGAATTGAAAGTTCTTGACAATCATACTTTCTTGAAATAACCAGATTTGGTATTTTAGTATATTACACTTCCTTCCAGACTTTCTTATATATATAACCCTGCTTAGGTAGTTGTCAGTAATATTTATACACCTTTCTGATGTTATTAACAAGCACATCAAGAGAACATTTTTTGTACATGCCGTGGAAAAAGCAGTACATGATGCAAATGAAATATACTAGTAAATTCTATGTCTATTTTGGGAGGCGTCACTTTCTTTTATATAGTTTGACACTCTTTTATTTGACACATACAGACACCTGGCTGTTAGAACTTTCTTGTAATAATACCTTTTGTTAATATCAGATGATGTTATTTGCTTAGAATTCTAATTTGATTTCTTAATATTGCTGCCCCTACCTTACTTATTTTTGGTTTGGAATTATCTAATATAATGCATCAACATCCTTTAACATGAAATAACTTATAGTATTACAAGTATTGTAAGTATTACAAGCTTGGTTGCAAAAATACCCATGCACACACGCACCTGCATAGGCAAAGGATTCCAAGAAGAATAAAGAAGAAAATGATCACCTTTAACCCTACCACCTCATGGATAGTTAGTGTTATATTTTGGTGTGTGTCTTTTTGGACTTTTTCTGCTTCTTTATATGACTATATAGATTTATATAGAAATTTCTTCTTATACAAATGTGATTCTGCTGTATTTATTGTTTTTTTCACCTTAGTCTATGTTAGTAACTCATGAAAATAATACATAAAGTATGTAAAAATTATTTTAGTTTTAAGAAACTTCAAAGAAAGCCTAAAATGAAATATGAAAAAAATCCCACCCAAATCACTTTGCTGCTATTATCTCTCAGTACTACTCCCCCAATGTAGCCATATTAACTTTCTTTTAGTTCCTTCCACATTTTTTAATGCCTGTCTAAAAAATATATGTATGTATATTTTCTCCCATATACACCAGAGATTTCTCACAAATAAACCAGATGTTCTCAAACTTTTTGATCTTAGAATTTCTTTGTACTTCTAAGAATTATTGATGCCTTCCAAAGAGCTTTATTTATATGGGTTATAATCTATTGATATTTATTATCATATTACAAATTAAAACTGAAAAAAATTCTTGAAGTTTATTCATTTAAAAAATTTATTGCATGTTAACAAAAATAACATTTTTATGAAAAATAACTTTGTGAATCTCTGTAATGTCTGACTTAATAGAAGACAGCTGGACTTTCACATCTGCTTTTGCCTTTAGTTTGTTTTGATATGTATGTAGGGTTTTTTTTATTATTTTTTGGCAGCTGGCCAGTGCAGGGATCCAAACCCGTGACCTTGGTGTTACAAGGCTGTGCTCTAACCAGCTTAGCTAACCTGCCAGCCCCCGATATGTAGTTTTAGTTGAAGTATGTGAAGAAAATCCAGCTTCATCCAGATATGTAGTTGGAAATGGGAGAAGTATTTCAACAGTTTTTTTAGATAACTCTGGATATTCTTTGATACTATGGTAGTTTCTTAAAAGTTAGTTGCAATATGGAATTTAAAACCATATCAATGAACTTTTCATTTTCTATTATATTAAAATCTATTGGTCTGTCTTGCACTTTGAAAGGATCTTTTACCAATGCATGATTTTGTAACTTCATGCATTGGTTATTTGGAAAATATTGGTTCACTGAAACAATACTGGTCATACAAATGTTGATACATTTTACTATATGATATAATTTTCTAATAGCACCATCAAATGCATCAGAGAAGCCTTTAAGTATTGGGAAGCTGTTAAGCTTACAGTGGCAAATACAAGTTTTACAAAATTCTAATTTTTACTTGAAAGCTCTAATTTTATAATTGGCACCAAGCACTATCAGATGTGGTTTTCAAATAACAACTTTCTTGATACATAATTCATGTACTAAGCAATTCACCCATTTAAAATGTGAAATTCAATGGTTTTTAATATATTCAGTTTAGTATGTTCAGTGGTTTTTAGTATATTTGCGTAGCCATCACTACAATCAATTTTAAAACATTTTCCCCCAAATATTGTAGAATGTTTAGAACATTACCCCACCAAGAAACCCTATACACTTTTGTTATTATCCTTCTACTTCTACATCTCCCACCTCTAAACACAACCATTAGTCTACCTTCTGATTTCCCTATCCCGGACTTTCATATGAATGGAATCATATAGCCTGTAGTCTTTTGTGACTAGCTTCCTTTCATTAACTTAATGTTTTCAAGGTTCATCATGTTATGGCATGTATCAATACTTCATTCCTTTTTATTATCAAATAATATTCCCTTGTATGGATATACCATATCTTATTCTATTCGGGCTGCTGTAACAAAATACTATTAACAGGATGGCAACAAATTCATATCTCACTGTTCTGGAGGCTGGGAAGTCCGAGATCAAGGTGCCAGCAGATTCAGTTTCTAGTGAGGGCCCACTCTCTGGTTTATGGATGGTGCCTTTTAGTTGTGTCCTCACATGATGGAAGAGAGAAAGCAGCTCTCTGCAGCCTCTTTTATAAGGGCACTAATCCCATTCATGAAGGTTTTGCCCACAAGACCTAATCACTTCCCAAAGGCTTGACTTTCTAACACCATCACATTGATGATTAGGTTTCAACATAGGAATTTTGGGGGGACACAAACATGCAGACCATAGCACCCCACAGTGTCTTCATCCATCAGTTGAGAGACATTTAGATTGTTTCCACTTCGGGCTATTATCAGTAATGTCACAGTGAACATTAGTGTCCTCATTTCTGTGTGGATGTATCTTTTCATTTCTCTTGGGTATATACCTAGCAGTGGATTATATACTAGTCGTGCTGAGTCTATGATTAACCTTTTGAAGAACTGTCAGACTGTTTTCAAAGTGATTACACCATTTTACATTCCCTACAGTTGTGTATGAAGATCCCAATTCTCCATGCCCTTGCCAACATTTGTTAATATCTCTCTTTTCAATTATAGCCATCTTGTTATATGTGAATTATTATTTCATTATGGTTTTGACGTGCATTTCCCTAATGACTGAAATGATGTTGAGCATCTTTTCCATTTCTTTTGTGTTCTTTTTATATGCTGGACTAGACCTCCATCAGATATATATTTGCAAATATTTTTTCCCATTTGGTGAGTTGTATTTTTACTTTCTTGATAGTATCCTTTGATACACCAAGTTTTTCATTTTGATGAAGTCCAGTCTATCTGTTTTTTAAATTTGTTGCTTGTGCTTTTGGTGTCATATCCAAGACACCATTGCCTAGTCCAAGGTCATGAAGGTTTACACCCTTGTTTCCTTTTTAAGAGTTTTATAATTTCAGCTCTTACATCTAGGTCTTTGATGTGTTTTGAGTTAATTTTTGTGTATAGTGTGATTTAGGAGTTTAACTTTTGTTTTTGCGTCTGGATATCCAGTTATCCCAGCACCATTTGTTGAAAGATTATTCTTTCTTCATTGAATTTTAAAACTAGGGGACTACCTGGAATTAGTCCCCTAGTTTTAAAAACCGCAAAGTTTAGAGCCGCTATGAAGTTTAAAGGGCATGTAACCCTTCCAAAAACCACATTCACTTCTTTTTTTTTTTTTTTTTTTTTTTAAAGGATGACCGGTAAGGGGATCTTAACCCTTGACTTGGTGCTGTCAGCACCACGCTCAGCCAGTGAGCAAACCGGCCATCCCTATATGGGATCCGAACCCGGGGCCTTGGTGTTATCAGCACCGCACTCTCCCGAGTGAGCCACGGGCCGGCCCCACATTCACTTCTGACACCCAACTGTAAGTACAAAGAGTTCTAAAAACGACCCTCAGATCTGATAGTCACTTGAAGAACTCACTGAAAGCTGTTATACTCATGGTTACAGTTTATTCAGATTAAAACCAACTAAAGGAAGAGACACATAGAGCAAAGTCTCTCACAAGTTTCCAAACGTGAAGCTTGTTTATTCCTCTCCCATAGAGTCAGGACACATTATGCTCCTGGCACATCTGTGTGACAAGTATGGATGAAGTATTGCCAACCAGAGAAGCTCTGGTTGAAGCACTGAAACCTGAGTTTCAGTGTCCAGAATTTTTATTCAGGCTTCATTACATAGGCATGATTGATTTCATTGGTTGCCCACATGGCTGAACTCAGTCTCCAAGTCAACTGAGTTACCCAAAGTCCCTATTGTAAATCACACAGCTGATCTTTCTGGCAAGGCCAGCCTTCACCCTAAGACTATTGGGTATGGCAGCTCCAACCTAAACCTTGTAACAAAGACACTCCTATCAGGTATGACATAGATTAACTCCCAGATGCCAAAGGCAAAAGGCCAGACATCTCTTTGGGTAAGGCTAAATGTTTTACTGCACTGGGACAGATGTCCATTTTCAGGGGCAGAGTTAAGGGAATAAGGTTTTTTGGGTTTTTGTTTTTCTGAAAATCAGCTGTCTTCCAATAATCATATTAGGATATTTATGTATGGCCATCTCTTTAAATTTTCAGATTAACTCTGAGAAATATTATTCCTTCATTTTGCACATGAGGAAACTGAGACTCATAAGTTAAGCAGCTTTTCTGAGTGATGGAGCTAAGATTGAGAAGGCAGTTTCTCTACTCCAGTGCCCTCTATCAGACACCACTCATCAAGACTGCTCCATTGCACAACTCCAGGGGCACTGTCCATGTTGTATTCTCTGTGGACTTTTCTTGGGATTATACCAGTGAAGCACCTTATATCCCAGCCACCCTAAATAATATATACCATCTGAATAAAAAGCAGTATGTTTGCTGCATAAATGAAGCTTCCAGGCAGGTTCCCTGGTCTCCTCTACCATGCATGAATTTTCAAGCCATCACCCCACATTGCCTCCCAGTACAGCAGGGTAAAGGGTCCTTGAAGATACACTCCTTGAGTGACCTTTTAGTGTATTAATGATCATCCTGTTTTGAAACACCAAGCAATAGTTGCCTTATCTCTTCTTCTGGGTTGATTTGAGCATCACTGAAACTCTTGCTACTATATTTTCCTTCTCAGGCTGCTGTACAAGACAGACTGAATGAGCAAGAGGGTGTACCAAGTGTTTTCAACCCGCCTCCATCCCGACCCCTGCAGGTTAATACAGCTGACCACAGGATCTACAGCTATGTTGTCTCAAGACCACAACCAAGGGCAAGTTATTTTGTACTGAAATTTCCCCCTTTTTTTATTATATTTGTATTCACTTGGTTATATTGATCTCTGTATAATAGGAGCAAAGGAAATATTCAGAATGTAAACCTGTTAGGTAGACCTGGCTCCTTGGTAGATTTAGTGGGTATTATCATTTTGCCTTGATTTCTTAATGAATTGATATAGAAACTATCCATTTTCTGTTCTTTACTAGTTTGGAGAGTGTTTTCTATGCCTTGTTTTGAGTACATGGGTAGGTTTATTTACACGACTAAAAATGTTTGCTACGTGTTTAAGAAGTCTCCCACTTTTAAGTTAGAATCTATTTACCGAGTTCTTTGTTGCTGCAATTTACTTAACTTTAATCTACTTTTGAGGAATTACTTGGAATCTTTGTGGGGGCCTTGACCACATCTTTGAAATTGGTCTTAAAGTTCTGTAGCAAGGTGATTAACTGAGATTTAACAAGCATTTAAGAGTGTTCGGATAACCTGATATTTTGCTGTTGGGGATTCAGAGATGAATAAAGAGCCAGTCTTCTCATTTCACATTTAATTTCTTGCAGTCTAGTTAGAGAAATCAGATTTGTGTACTAATAATGAACTCTGAAGGACTTCTTGGAGTTTTCCTTTCTTATCCTTGGGGTTGTATTCACCTCTTATATTTGCATTTAGAATCCTAAGAGAGCACTTTCTTTAACCATGCAGCATTTACAGTTTACTCCATCATAATACCTTTTTGTGCAGTACTTGTTATTTTATTTTATTTTATTTTATTTATTTATTTTTTTTTTGTCTTTTTCCGTGTCCGGCAACGGATCGCAACCCTCAGTGTTGCCCCCGTACCGGACCAGGGACCGGCAGCGGGATTGCAACCCTCGGCGTTGCCCCCGCACCTCGCTCAGCCAGTGAGCGGGAAATGGTCTGTATGTGGGATCCGAACCCTCGGGCGGGAGCGCCACCGCGCTTCCCAAATGGCGCACTTATCCAGTGCGCCACCGGGCCGGCCACCATGCAGCATTTACAGTTTACTCCATCATAATACCTTTTTGTGCAGTACTTGTTATTTTAGAAATGGGGTTTCTAATTAGTCATTTTGGGGCATTCTGAAGTAGAAGGGCACAGATTTCTAGAGCAATTGTACAGCTCAAGGAGTAGTTCTGTATATGCCCAGTGTTTCCTCAGCTTGCTTTGGTCTTGACTTCATGTTTGGGACCCTAATGTCAGCCATGAGGCTCCAGAGCTCCCTGGCCATAGACACAGAAGGGGTCCCAGGTTAACACAATATAATGTCTAAGAAATGCTTTGTAAACTGTAAAGCCCTGTATGTATACTAGTTAATAATTAATAACAGCAGTAATAATATTGTTAATAAATAGCATTATTACTAAGATTAGCAGCTACATGGGGATTCATCATTGTGGTTAAATTTATTATTTATATACAGATGTCCAAGGTAGTAATAATGGTTATCTTTCTTGCTATTTTTATATACTGTATTTTGATGTAGAAATCTGAAAAGGAAAGAATGAATATTTATCATCTGGGGATATGAACTTCCAGTTGAATTTAGCAACTAATATAAGTAGCTGCAGAAAAAGTATTAAAGCAGATTTAATACAAAAATTATGTGAGAAAAAGAAAAACAATAATATTAGATGAAATGAGATCAAAGGCAGTATCATTTAAGAAGGATGAGGTGGCCAGGAAGAGGAAACTGTATTACAGAGGGAGAAGTTACGTGGAAGGACAGAAAAGAGTGTAAAAATCTTAACTAGCCATTTTGTAAAGTACTAGAGATTGAGAGAATGGCCTCTAACTTTGTTTTTGGAATTTCAGGGACTGCTTGGATGGGGTTATTACTTGATAATGCTTCCATTCCGGTTTACCTATTACACAATACTTGATATATTTAGGTATGTACCTCTGTGTTTATGTATTAGTAGCAACAGGATAGACTTTGGTGCTGAAACTTGAATCAGAATAAGTTTTGTGCTCTATCAATTTTGACTTGCCAATTTGTCATCAGATTGAATACTCTTCCTGAACTGTCTTTTAATATAGTATAAAAGTATTTTGAATTATTCAGATGTAAGGGCAGGAGTTATGAAATGAAATTGTTTTAAATTAGTCTTGCCTATTGTTTGCAAGGATCAGTCTGCCTACATCTATTGTTCCCCACCACCATGTTTGTCACCTCTACATTCCCTAGTTAATCTCCACACCCTTTCCTTTCTAACCACCATTATCTCCTAGCTTCACACTCCTTAGAACTTTTACCCTAAACCACTTCTCCATCTGACTACTGACAATCTCAACAAATTCCCTCGCTCTAAGATTACCAACTTTGTGCTAGATTCCTCCCACAATAATTGTACCTGTCTAGACACTCCTTCTGTACATTTTACTCTTCCCTGGCAACCCCGAGGTTGCTGACACTGGAACTCTTTTATATATACACCCACTTGCTTCTTACCTTCACCTTTCTTCTAGCTTCGTTCATGTACCATTCAAAGAGCTCATCATTGGAAGCTACATAGGCTCCAAGACTAGAAAATGTTGAGTGGGGCCCAACTTCCTCACACATCAGGTTTACGTTATCTAGTCTAGAGCCACACTTAGGCTTGGTTAGAAACTAAAACGTTTATGGGCATCCAGGTCAACAGATGGAGCTAGATTATGTGGTCTGGGCCTTACATATAAGGCAACCTTACCTCCCATCAAATATGGTGGGACAGGGAGCAAGGCTGGAGGTGAGGACCCAGCTGCAGAAGTGCAAGTATCAGATAATACTTTTTTTACCTTGGCACCTTGGTGTTTTATGAGACTGCCTGCTTAATGGCTTCCTTGCTTTAGCAAAGTTCTTAATGGTTACCAATTAACTATTTTAGTACTCTTTCCATCCCTATTTTATTTACAAATGGGCATGTGAAAACTTTAAAAATCATAATGTAGACTGAGTTGACCTTTCTTTTTTTTTAAAAAAAGCTGATTGCCCAGAGTTGTATAAGCCATGAGACTATATTGTAATGAGAAACAAAAAAGTTAAAGCCTTTATCCATTCATCAAAATTTGAAAACTTTAAGGAGATAATCCTAAAATACTTTACTTCAGAGAAAGTAGTTAAAGCATCAGTCTTCTGAAGGACTTGTAATCACTGCCCCACACACATAACTTCTTACATTTTGTGTTTTTAATTTGCTCTGGAATGATAGTGCCGGTGAATTTTATTTGATTACTCAGGAGAAATTCCAAGTGGAGTTGTATATACATAGGGAATTTGTTGAGGGGGTAAGGTATTGGCTCAAGATTTGGTAAGGAAAGTGTCCTAACCTAGTCATCTTTTCTGTGCTGAAAATTCTTCAAGAAAATGAATATTGTTTGCTTTTCTTGGGATAATATGCATGGCATGTGTTACTAATTTTAATGCAGCTGTATCATCCAAGCAACTTATTTAATGTTATGTAGCACGTTGGCCTCTGCCCCATTGCCTTTTGTGGAAACCCAAAGGATAAATAAATGGTGCTATACAAATATAATAGGATAGATTCTTTAGAAACAGATGTGTGGTAGCATCAGGTCATGCATCCTTAACTTAACAATAGCTACCAGTACTCCACATCTGTTCATGTACTCTGGGTTACTCTTAATAACTTCCTGCATGGATGCCATCAACCATAAATCATCAAGCAAAATGTACTTGCCCCCCCCTTTGAAAAGCAAGTAAATCATGACTACAAGTTCAGGTTTGAAGTTCCTGTCTATACTTTGAATAGCTTGCGAGTATGAACTAAAACTTTAAAATCCCAGGAGAACAAAAAGGAAAGGGAGAGGCAAGAAGGACAACCAGAAAGAGATCTCTGTTTGAGAGCAGTGCTGTCTAATAGAACTTTCTGTGATGATGGAAATGTTCTGTATCTGCACTGTTCAATATGGAAGCCACTAACCAAAAGTGTCTAGTGTGACTGAGGAACTGAATTTTTAATTGTATTTCATTTAATAAAATTAAATTTAGAATAGCCACATGTGGCTAGTGGCAGCTGTATTACACAGTGACATTCTAGAGAGTCTTGGGGCATAGCCTGACCCACGATCTTTTTGAGTATTGTGTCTTCCTTTTCAAACCCTTCTAGCCCTAAATTTTTCTTTAAGAAGCACTCAGGAACTGTTTAGGCCAGTGTTAGAAAGTATAATCCTAGTAGTTTGCATTCTTCTCAAACAGGCACTGGAACAACACTGCTGCTTTGCAGCTGTTGAGCCAGACTCTACTCTCAGGTTTGATGGTCTGCTCGTAGACCATTTGACTCCTTTTGCTGCCATGCCTCTGGCTCTGTTATAGGAAAATGTACAAAATGGCCCACTCCATGTGCACTATAGTAAGCTGGATTTATGTAATATTTATTCCTTCTTCCCCAGGTTTGCTCTTCGTTTTATACGGCCTGACCCTCGCAGCCGGGTATGCTGCCATGCCTCTGGCTCTGTTATAGGAAAATGTACAAAATGGCCCACTCCATGTGCACTGTAGTAAGCTGGATTTATGTAATATTTATTCCTTCTTCCCCAGGTTTGCTCTTCGTTTTATACGGCCTGACCCTCGCAGCCGGGTCACTGACCCTGTTGGGGACATTGTTTCATTTATGCACTCTTTTGAAGAGAAATATGGGAGGGCACACCCTGTCTTCTACCAGGGAACGTACAGCCAGGTCAGTGCCACAAACAATATAGGTACCAACCTACTGATATGATTCTATCCTGAAAGGAAAGTATAGCCTAGCACTGAACATGTCATTCTTTTTCTTAAAAACCTCAAATCGTTCTTTACTGCTTACAAAAAAAAAGACCAAACTCTTAAGCAGGGCCCCTCTTGATCTAACCCCAACCTTCTTTTGAGGCCTTTTCTGCATAACTTGTTTCCCCATACTATAGGTTCCAGCTAAACCATTTCCCTGAACATGCTCTGTACTTTCCTACTCCTGTGCCTTTGCTTTTGCTGGAATGCCTTCCTCATATTTTTGCTAATTGTAATCTTGCCCATCCTTCAACCAACTCATGTCACCCCCCTCTTATAACAATTTCTGATTGTTGTGCCCTATCCTGCCCTACCTCGCGATCTAAACTATTAATCTTTCCTTGTGTTCTTTCATAGTTTTTTTTAAGTTTATATTTATTTCACATTCTTTCTTATATTATAGTTATTTGTGTTCATTTCTCATCTCCTCTATTAGACTGTAAGCCTCTTGAAAGCAAAGCCTAAATCTTCTTTGATTCCTCGCAGAGTTGAATAAGGGTATTGACCATAGACTCAATCACACATCTCATTCAACCTAAGGCACACAGACTTTTGACTGTCTCCTCTTGGGGGAGGAAAAATTAGAGTTCTGTGGGTACTAGGCATATCTCTAGTTTGCCAGAGAAAAATATAGAATGAACACCATATCAAAATGCAAAAGGGTAGTTCTATTCTGCAACCTCCAGGATTCCTGAATATATCTGGAGAAAGAAAAATGCTTACTGTTGCTTCCTGCTTTGATTTTCCCACATCTGCTTTTTCTCACAGTCAGTCTCCTCACTGGCTACTGCCACCTTACTCAACAAACATTGCTGTACACCTGGAACTGTGCTCAGTGCTAGAGATACAGAAATGAATAAGATGAGCACCTCTCATGTACCCTTTTTGCTATGATCCTGAGGGTGGACCACCATTGGCCATTCAGGAAATCTTAAGTGAAGTGTGCTTAGGAGCATGCATATGCAACAGCACACATAGAAGTCTTGGACACTAGCCTTGTCTTTGAAAATCTTGAGAATGCCTTTAGGTCCCACAGTCTCTCACTCCTGCTTGGAATGTAGCCTGGGAGCAGGCTAATCTTCGCAGTTATTTTTTAGTTACAAGGATGTTGTAGCTTTGAACTTGCAAAATTCTCACCTCACTTTCTACATGGTCAGATTCTCCTGTTTTTTCTTCCTTTAGACTGTGGGAACAGCTGACTTTCCTCTGATTCGTTGGGAGCCTGTATTTGTCAGCCTGTCTACTCTCATGTGCCTGATTCAATTTAAATTCTAACAACACTAAAACCTTTTCATTAAAGCTTGTTAGCATGGACTAATGCCAGGGGTGTGAAGGTAGGATGTTAGGAATTTTCTAGTTTCTTGCTCACCTTTTTTCCTTATTTCTCTTGTTATTCCTAAATATGTAGCTGTATCTATAGGACCCTTAGCCTGATTAAAATCTCAAAGCACAGTATTCATAATAATTAGTGATCTTCTGTTTCTCACAGGCACTCAACGATGCAAAGCGGGAGCTTCGCTTTCTTTTGGTGTATCTTCATGGAGATGATCACCAGGACTCTGATGAGTTCTGTCGGTAGGTAGATTGATAGTTTTCTTTCTCTTTTCTGACCCTTTGTGCTGACAATTTGTAGTCAGTGAGTAGTTCTCATGTCCTTTTCATCCCTTTCCACAGCAACACACTCTGTGCGCCAGAAGTTATTTCACTAATAAATACTAGAATGCTCTTCTGGGCATGCTCTACAAACAAACCTGAGGGATATAGGGGTAAGTTGTGTTTCTTTTGCCTCATTTGAGATTGTCAGAGTATCTTTGGAATGGTCTGGAAAAACATGCTACGCCATTTGTTACATGACTATTCCGCGGTAGACAGAATTCCAGTTGCTGGTTTTTATATTTTCTTGTTTAATCCTCTCAGCAGTCCTGAGAGATGAGGGTTTTATTATCTCTACTTTATGTTTTAGGAAACAGGCTCAAAGATTTGTCAGTGGCCCATGATCACCCATTTAGCAAGTTTGGGTGTGAGATCAGATCTGTCAGAATATAAGGCCCATTCTTTATAGTTTAACCATTGCCAGAGCCTGTTTTATTTTTTTAAATCCCCAATCCTGGCCAGCAGCTTGTCTTTAATTTAATGTGCTTTTTACTGAAGAGTGTATTCTCTTCCTCAGCAATTTTAACAGAGGTTCTTAAGCAATGACTTAGTTGTCTGAATACCTTGAGTGTTAATATGGATTCTGAAAGTTTAGAAGTTGAAGACATGAAGTAGTAGAAGATATGAAGGCATCCAGTGAAGAAAAGTGCAGTCATTTTGCAGCTGCTTCTATCCAGCTACCTTTGAGTGTATACTAACATGCCAGGCACTACATCAGATCTTGAGAACCAAAGATGCAGCAGATGTTTTTCCTGCATCCTGGATCTGAATCTTTACTCCTAATTGTTTTTTAAACATCTTTAAGTACCTGCACCATGCATTTTGCTCCTCTAGTATGGCAGGTCAGGGTGGGGGAAGCAATGAATAGGAGGAGACTAAAGATAACATCTTTTCATTCAAACCATAAAGAAAACATAGGTGTAAAACTCCATTATGGTAAAATGTTGGTTATTTGGAGACCAACTTTCTAAACTTCTTTGGAGCAGGAAAGCTAACTTTTTTAGGGGTGGAAAAAAAAGACATATGGGAAAAGGGGAAAAGGAAAGGATTAGTCAAGAGGAAGAAAAGACATAGAGAAGATGATGATGAAGATTATCACCAGTAGCATTATGCTGAGACTTGTCACCTTATAGGTTTCTCCCCCTCACACAGGGAAGAACTGTGCTAAGCAGAAACCAGATTCTTTAATAGACCCTTTTTCTACCATCAAGTAAGCATTATCCTTGAACTCTGCAGCCTTCTCCAGCATCATCACAACAGCCTCACCTCCACCAGAAAAGCCTGTTCTATTCTAATCAAGCACCTAGGGATAGGGACACAAATGTATAACAAAAATAAAAGATTAAGAAACTAGGAGGAAAAAAAGGTAGGCAGAGAATAGATGACATTTAAGTTAAAACAGCTCATTGTGGAAAGTCTGAGTTGATCTGCTTCATCCCCAAGTCCTGCCTTTGATCTGCTGGATTTTGCTGTCAGTCTCACAGGCTTTACGAGAAAACACCTATCCATTCTTGGCCATGATTATGCTGAAGGATCGGAGGATGACTGTAGTGGGACGGCTAGAAGGCCTCATTCAACCTGATGACCTTATTAACCAACTGACATTTATTATGGACGCGAACCAGACTTACCTGGTGTCAGAACGCCTAGAAAGGTACAAGGGAGTTCCGTTCTGGAAGAGAGAGACCGGTAGTAAATCTGGAGGACTGACCTGGGGCTCTGTAAATCCTGATTTCCTCCCTGTCTTAAGCAACTTTAAAAGCCGTACTCATTTAGTGTCAAAATATTTATGTACTTTGACCTAAAATCCTCAACATCAGATCATCCATTTTTAGAGATATGATTCAAAATAAAGACAGGGCTTTATGTTCAAACATGTCATTTAGATAGCAGAACATGATATAAAAAACTTAAAAGCAAAAAATGTGGAATGGTACATTTTTCTTCCCCCCTGCCCATTAACTAAGTTTGGTACATTATAGAAAATTTGAAAAACACAGAAAAGCACAAGAAGAAATTAATAACCACTTATAATCCTACCACCACTTTTAACATTCTGGTATACTTCCTTTTAATTTTATAGACACTACACACACCCCTATATACATACACATTTTTTGTAAAATTGGGATAATACTATCTTGTAAGCCTTTTCATGCAATAATATATCACAGCATTTTCCCTCATCATTAGATATTATTCTGCCACATTTTAAAAATTACTCCATAGCTTTTTCCCATTATCTAAACACATTATAATTTAACCAGGCCACTCTTGCTGGATTTATAGATTATTTTCAGTTTTTTACTAATATAAATAGCATACTGGAAGATAATTTTTTACAATTTGTGATGATTTCCTTAGATTAGAATTTAAATTCCTGGAAGTGTAATTTGGGGTCAGACAATATAAATGTATTTAAGGTTTTTAATTTGTAATGCCAAAATGCCCTCAAGAAAGTTATACAAACTTAAATTTATGGAAAGCTTTTAATAACATGGGGAAAAGCTTGTTAGAAAAATGTTAGCAAAATGCAGGACTAAAAACTTTACAATATAGTATGATTTTAACCATATAAAAAATAAAATGTATAAGAGAAGAAACAGGGGTGATGGAAATGTTCTGTCTTGGAGTGGTGGTTACATGGTTACATTTATCTAAATTTATTGAATTGTACATTTAAGATCTGTGCATTTCAATGCATGTAGATTTTATCTTAATGTTTTTTTTTTTTTTTTTTGGTCTTTTTTGTGACCGGTAAGGGGATCGCAACCCTTGGCTTGGTGTCACCCGCACCGCACCGGCCATCCCTATATAGGATCCGAACCCGCGGCGGGAGCACCGCTGCGCTCCCAACACTGCACCCTCCTGAGTGAGCCACAGGGTCGGCCCGATTTTATCTTAATTTTTAAGGAAGTATAAAACAAGAGTGTCTGTTCAACCATTTTGACCAACTAAATATTGTTCTTGCTAAGATAAAACAAATCTGTAAGAGAGAAAATAGGAAATCCACCAAAATGTTAGTGTTTTGCCTTTTTTTAGTGGAATTCTGAATAACATGTTTTTTATATTTTTCAAATCTTCTACAACATGTGTGTGAATGTGGATGTGTAGTTTTTTTGTTTTATGAAAGCAACATACAGGGCTGGCCAGTTAGCTCAGTTAACGTTTATAGTGTGGTGCCGATAACACTAAGGTCCAGGGTTCAACCCCTGTACTGGCCAGCTGCCAAAAAAGAAAGAAAGAAAGCAAAATACAAAAATGCAGTAACCCAAAAGGATATTTACCTATAAAATAGGATGTTGATGATCACTTCATAACAATAATACTACGTTAATTTTGTTAGAATTAGGGGGAAAAGACAGTTTTATTTTAAAAGTTAAAAGAGGAGAGGAAAGCTTGCCATTTCTTTTTCTACCTAATTAAACTGGGAAAAGAGATGACTCTTTCAGATTCTGCCATGCTCTGCTGTTGTTATTTCTTAGGGTAGTGTGAAATAGTCATCTGCCAAGATTATCAACATTTTTACACACGATCCCCCCCATTTCAGTATAAGAAAACAGCTTTGTGGGCTGGCCCAGTGGCACACTGGAGAGTGCGCTGCTTGGGAGTGCGGCGGTGCTCCCGCCGAGGGTTCGGATCCCATGTGGAGACCGGTTCCCGCTCACTGGCTGAGCGCGGTGCGGGCGCAACACCAAGGGTTGCGATCCCGTTGCCAGTCCCCGGTACAGGCGCGACACCGAGGGTTGCGATCCCGTTACCGGTCAGTAAAAAAGACAAAAAGGGGAAAAAAAAAAACCCAGCTTTGTGAGATTGCTGTTTTCTTTCTTTGCTTTTGATCTGTCCACAGAGAAGAAAGAAACCAGACCCAGGTGCTGAGACAACAGCAGGATGAGGCCTACCTGGCCTCTCTCAGGGCTGACCAAGAGAAAGAAAGAAAGAAACGAGAGGAGCGGGAGCGGAAACGGAGGAAGGAGGAAGAGGTGCAGCAGCAAAAGCTGGCAGAGGAGAGACGACGACGGGTAATGTACTTGTGTCTTGGCTCCCTGTGATTCCCAAGTTGCCCAGACTGTGTCATCTTGGTCTTTTCTTTAGTGTTAAAGGAAAAAAACTAGACAATGTTGGGATTGTGGGTGATTTAAATTTTTATTAGCATTTAAATATTCATTTTTAGTGTTAGCTGATTTGGCTTTTCATTCATGATCTTGTTTCATTATGTGTTACCACTTGCTTATATCCAGTGTCTTTTAGCCATTCCTTTTTTCTTTTTTCGGCAGCTGGCCAGTGCAGGGATCCAATCTCTTTCCTCAAATAGTTAAACCTAAACACAGCCAATAAATAATGCATGTGATGCAATAGTACTTTGAGTTAGGCTGTTTCTGACTCTTGCCAAGAGGATTTCCTTATAATTAGTAATATATAATTAGTAATTAGTTATTAATATATATATATTTTTTTGGTCTTTTTTTTGTGACCGGCAGCACCGCGCTCAGCCAGTGAGCGCACCGACCATCCCTATATAGGATCCGAACCCGCGGCGGGAGCGTGGCTGTGCTCCCAGCACCGCACTCTCCCGAGTGCGCCACGGGGTCAGCCCAGTCATTAATATTTCTTATGACTGCACAATAAGTCTACACAGTCATTGTATTTGTTTTCCGTTTCCCTGTTTGAGCCCTAGCCTCACCTTTGCTTTGTGTCTTTGCAGAATTTACAGGAGGAAAAGGAAAGGAAGTTGGAGTGCCTGCCCCCTGAACCTTCCCCAGATGACCCTGAAAGTGTCAAGATCATTTTCAAATTACCCAATGATTCTCGAGTAGAGAGACGATTCCACTTTTCACAGTCTCTAACAGTAAGGACTACCTAAGTTGTGTGAAGTGTATGTAGTATGTGGGCTGTAGATTTGGAAACTTTTATGGACTCTTGAGAGTGCTATTGGTGAATCTCCTGCTCTTATGAGCAGGAGAGGAACAGAGAGAGAGATGGATATGACATCATTGGACGCCAGGAAGAGTGCTATGATATTGTAGGTTTCTTCAGTGCCAGCTGCCAACTCGAAGCAATTTTTAAGATTTTCTTTCATCATAATATTTGAGCTCTGCTAAGAAAAAAGTCCCTCACAAGACATGTGTGAGGGTAGGTGGTACTTTCATGCTCTCTTCTTATATTGGCTTCAGAATCCCATCAAAATGCCTTGTTCTGTAGAGAAAGCTCTGTCTCCAATGACCTAGAAGCCCTGGAATTACAAATCTGAATATAAGTGCATGTGCAGTTTGGATGCAGTTGTCTGTCCCTTTCTACTCACTTAGCCCATAAGAAGTCCCACTTACTGAGGCTACCTTTTATGTGTGGTATCCATACAGTGGTGTTTGTCATTTCCATAGAGAAGTAGTTAAAGCAGAGACTCTTAGAGGATCAAGTACTCATTCTTCCAGAATTACTAGATGTGTTTCCTTGGTCAGTTTACTTAATCTCTAAGCCTCAATTTTTTCATCTGTAAAATGGTTGTAATAATAGACGCTCCCTAATAGGATTATTGTTAGGATAAAATTCATAGAAACAGTTCAACATTGTGCCTGGCTTATGGTAAACACTCAAATAGTAACTATTGTTTTTTGATTTAAAACCAAAAGAAAATTTCTGTTTATATTGAGATTAGTATGTTGCCTTTAGAAATTTACAGCTATTGTAGATTCTGCCATTTTCTCAATCACTCAGAATAATCAAGAATAAACTTCATAATAGGAATGAGGATGCACTGTAGTCAAATGAGGTAGGGTAGTACATTCATTGCTTCTTCTTATTTAACTGGAGAACATTGGATAAGTTACAGAATCTTACAGAGCCTCAAATTTCCCATCTGTAAAATGGAAATATAATCTGCTCTCTAATAACTTTAAACTGAAGATACGTCATGCACTGAGTTAGACAGTCTAGGGATGATACAGATGAGTGAGACGTGGTTGTGGAATTCATGGAGCTTACTGCCAGCAGGGAATGTTAAGACTGAAAGAACTAGTACTTAATAAACATTATGAGCCATGCTGGTGAGAAAGACACAAATGGCTTCCTCATTTTATTTGTGTATCTCATGTTTGTGCATTTATTTATATTGGGGGAAGCACTCACATCTCTAACTTTGGATTTTTAAATTGAGATAACATGAGTGTGTCTCACACAGTACCTACCATGTAGTAGGTCATTACTAAGTATTAATTCCTTTCCCTTGGGTTTCCCTGTGTATGCTAACTATGCAGATTTGCATATGGATTTTAGTTTGCATGTTTACCAGGAATTTTGCTGTTGTACCCCTGAACTCTGGAACTTCAAGAAGTTTCTACCTCCAAAACTCTGATAGATAAAACTGTATGTGAAAAGCCTAACCAAAATTTACTTTCCTGAGAGTTTCAGAGGTAAAATCTATTCAAATTTTGGAACAGAATAGTCTTGTAGCCACGGGGGAACCAATCATTCATTAACTACTTAATCCTTGAAGTCTTAAATAGTTTCCTCACTCAAAGCTATTTTTTAAAAAAAGAATATCATGACCACCTGATTCAGAAAAAAAAGCTTGGTCATAAATTGGGCTTGAGGTGGGAAAAAAGTGTGAGGGAGGAAAAGTGCAGTGGTAGTGCAGGCCTGGATTCAACATCCACAGAGACAATAACATGTAGCCAAGTAATGGTTCAGTGTTTAAATGTACATAAGAGACATCCAAATTATACTCAGCCCCAAACTAATTTTTCGGTCCATTACAAACCAAAAAGGATCTCTAATCGTGATGTAATCTGTTTCCTGATGGTGTCAGCCCTTTGTTAATAGTAAAAAATGCCAGTTTTGTACCAATGTCAGGTATTCTTAAGCAGGGATTGAAAAGGAAACAGTGTTATTTCATCTTTATATAAAATCATGTAAGAATGATTTTATACAAGATTTTATACTTTATATAAAGTCATATAAGAGTGATTTATGCAATGATGGGTTCATACAAGAATATTTGGTGCAAGTCTAATGATGCATCTCAAGAAAAAAAGAGTGAACATTAATGGAAATTGCAAAGAGAGAAGGGAACTGAAAATGATTAAGGTTGACAGACTAAAATATGAGAAGTTTATAAAATCATGAATGGATTAGATAAAAGGAACATGTAGCCCTTTAAAAATCTCTGATGGAAGGACTGCTTCACACAGGGGAATAAACCCAAAGAACTCATGGTTCTGAGAAGTGAACAAAAAGAAAATAAAATTAGATTCACCCAAAACAGAAGGAGAACTTCAATGGTGTGTTCCTCATCTTTTGGGTTGACCTGAAAGAGGTCCCTTAGAATCCCTGTTGGAAGTAGAATGCTACCAGGACCATAGAGTGTGTTTGTTTCTTAACATGTGGCATTAAGAAACAGGGAGAGATACCAGTGACCTGTTTCACTAGTATCTCACTCACATTTTAAGTTTTAGCAATATGAGTTCTTCTGATGTTGCCTCACTTCTCGCTAAGAATTTTCCTGTACCTTGTCAGAGCCACAGCAGGGGGAGGAGGGCATTCCCACAGAGGGGAGGTCTTTGTAATGGTGGTAGGTCTTGATCAGGTTAAAGAATGTGTCCAAATGTGGGGGCAGCCCAGTACAGGAATGTCAGAGCCCAAGTGCCCCAGGGAAGGGTGTCAAAGCCAGAGCAGGGTGAGGAGGGTATACATAGGAAGGCGGGAGTTTGCATAGGGTAGGGGAATGAAGACGACCAGTTATATACGCCGTATGGTTTTATATATATATGTATATATGTATGTGTGTATTAGATTGGGGGGCGTGTATACACACACCCACCCATATTCTCTAGCTCTATCCATAAAGAGTACCTGAGAGCAACAATTTCCCAGTAGCAATGAGCATACTAGCACCTTGGCTTTTAAATACCAGTGTTCATTAAGAACAACATGAGTTCCTTGGAGAAATGGCTAATTCCAGAGCTGGGGCAGGGACAATACAAGATCAGATTGGAACACCTTGTGCCAGAAAGCAAGGAATTGTTCAGAGGATGATGGGGACATGCCAGAAAGCCATTCAGGCTGACACCATCTGGAACAGTTTGAACATTAAATAATGATTATAACATTATAACTTATTGAATAAAATAAGAAATCTTGAATCTATATTGGTATAAATAAATTAGAAAAGTTTGAGGAACAGAATATCTCCATAGTTTAAGTACCTCCTACAAAATACTCATCAATTACAAAGAGAAAAAGAATAACTTAGAGTGAAGAGGCCTGGCAGGCACCACCTTAATCAAGTGATCAAATTGAACATTGTAGATAATTAAGCAAATTGAAATTGTGCTCCACATGAATAGGATGCATTACATGAATAGGATTCATTGAGTAGAATGCAGTGTCATTTCTGTAACATTCCTGCCAGTGATGCAGAACCTGAATCTAATCATGAGTAAACAAGCATCAAACAAATTGAGAGACATTCTACAAAATAAAAGTGTCAAGGTCATGAAAGTGAAGGAGAGGCTGAGGATTTGTTCCGGACTAAAGGAGGAGACTTACAAGAGGTGACAAATAGGTCTGGCCAGTTAGCTCAGCTACTTAGAGCATGGTGTTACAACACCAAGGTCAAGGATGTGGATCCCCATACTGGCCAGTTGCCAAAAAAAACCAAAAGCAACCAGTAGATATGACAAATAAATGCAACACATTTATTTAAATAGTTTTAATTTAAAACTGGATTCTTTTGCCATAAAAGACAACTGGCAAAACTTGAATGGGGCCTGAATAATAATGTAATATATATTATATTCTGGTAATAATGTATCAATTAAATTTCCTGATTTTGAGGGCCATGTTGTGGTTAGGTAGAAGATTTTCTTGTTTGTAAGACATACACCCTCAAGTATTCTGGGGTGATGGGACATCAGGTTGGCAGCTTACTCTCAACTGGTTCAAGGAAAAATATTCTATATCCTATACTTTCAACTTTTCTGTAACTTTGTGATTACTTCTAAGTAAAAATATTTTAGCTTTTTATCAAGACAAGTTGTCAGAGAAGAAACAGATAAATCAGTTCAGAGAAGGGCTAGTGTTAGGCTTGTGTAATTTCTTTTAAAAGGACTGCCCCATGTATATGCCCTGGGAGATGGAAAAGTCCTCTAAGTAAAACTCCAAGGTAATATGATTACTTCATATCTCAGAATCATCCTGGGGATAGTTGGGAGACATTTGACTTCATTGTGTGTGTCTCTTTTTCTCACTGCCCTTTTTCTATATGACCTCTGCAGGTAATCCATGACTTCTTATTCTCCTTGAAGGAAAGCCCTGAAAAGTTTCAGATTGAAGCCAATTTTCCCAGGCGGGTACTGCCCTGTATCCCTTCAGAGGAGTGGCCCAATCCCCCCACGCTGCAGGAGGCCGGACTCAGCCACACAGAAGTTCTCTTTGTTCAGGACCTAACAGACGAATGACATTTATTCTTCCTCTCCCTTCCCACCCCAATCCCTAAAAGAAATGGAAAAAAACAAAAACAAGAAAAAAAAAGAGAGAGAAATTCATATTATTATTATTATAATACAATATTTTTTTTAAAAGACTGCTGCATCCTATGGAAGGATCAGAAACCATGCTGCCTGCAAGAATCACAGCCTGTGTGTGCGCAAGGTTAGCAATGAAAGTACCCACTCAGCAAGCCCACCCTTCCCTACAGCCTCTGCACACGCACCTTCCAGCAGACGGGGACTCTTCACCTCCACCCATCGTTGTCCCATCTGGGGAAGGGGACATTCCCACTAGTTCTCATCCATTCTTGCTTTTATGGAAAATAAAAGTGAAAAAGCTCCATCAACCAGCTACTGCAGCATCTCCTGAGGACTTGCTTCTCCCACCTCTGGAGAAGAGAGGCACAGAACAGAGATGTTCCTTGAACTGCCCACAATTTATGAATAACTTGTTTCTGTTGCTTTGTAATGACCAAAGGAATGAAGCTGACATAGGTGTATTTTTTTCCTTTATTTGATAAAGAGCCAATGCTTAAACCCATGAACTCATGCCCTGGGCTCCTTAGCCCACAATAGTGTAATAAAGGTGCCCCAGGCCAGTCTGTGCTTATTTCTGCCATTGTCCCTCTCATGCTCCCAGAGAGGTCATTCTTTTTGGTCCAACTCTTGCTGTCCTTATCACCTGTGCACCCCACTTGGAGCAGTGGGAGGAAATCTGGGTTTGTAGCCCCGAAAAGGCTGCATGTGTACGGACATACCCATGTATGTGTTGTGAACTCACCTTCAGACACAACTGCAGCTTTTCCTTGGAATCTGTACGTGGTGGTTGTTATGGGGTCTAAACCAAAGGATAGCAGCTCTTCATTCCTCTTCTGACACGTGCATGCTGTCCCTCCCAGCCCTGAGCTTTCCTGAATTGCCAAGCTAGGTGCCTTTCCAGAGGACTTAGTAGGGCCTGTGGTGGAGCCAGCAGAACCACATGAGAGTGCCCTGTCTATCTCAGTGGAAATATGTTGTTGCTGTTGTTTTAAGGATAGGAAAAAAAAAAAAGGCCTTGAAGTGAGCCAAGACAGAACTCCTAGCATGTGTAAACTGTTAGAAGGCACGTTTCAGTTTGTGATGTAGCCACCTGCTGGAGGCAGTTTTTAGTTTTTATTCTTTCCCTCTATTGCTGTGTTGAAGTAATAGAGTTTTTTTTTTTTTACCTCTGGATGTCTCATCTGTAGTTGAGTTTGTGGTAATGGGTACATGGGTCAGGCCATGTATTAACAGATGCCTGTGTGCACTGACAAGTATTCCAAAGCAATCTATAGCTAGACTGGTGTGGACTCATAACACTGCAGCCTACTGACATTACTTACTGTAGTTCCTAGCATGCTGTGAGGGCAGGGGGTTCAGATCAAAATAAAGCATAACTTGATAGATTTGTACTTCCCAAAGGCTTTCTCTCTTGCTTACCTAAAACTTAAGGACCACTCTTTTTGATAGCAGTAATATGGTCACTGTTTTCTGCAGCCCTCAGTTGTTGTTGGGGTAAACACCATGGGGCAGGGTAAGGTGCCTCACAGATATCACCTGGAGAATCTGAGAATTTCCCAGTGGCCTTGGCACATGTGTCTAGAACATCGTCTCTAGGAATATTTAAATCTGTTTGTGGCTGCCTGTTCTTCCACTTTGTTTTCTGCTGTCCCAAGGCCAGATAAGTAGGAAATCACCATCTGACTGCTGTCATAAAATATATATGGAGTGAATAGGATAAACCGTGTTCTCCACTTACCTTTATGTGAAATCTGCTTCCCACTGACAGCCATGCAAAGAGGAATTTTTCCACTTAACTCGGAGCCTCCCTCCCTTTCTAGAATTTACACCTTTTTTCCCTGGCAGCACACAGGAGGGTATTAAGGACCTTTGTTAGACTGGTTGTACTGTATAAGTATCTTGCCCACACCTCTGGGAGGTTGTAATTTTTTGTTCTTAGTAATTCAATCTTATTCTACAATGTGCACTTTATGCCTCTTGCCTTTTGATAAATGTTGTTCAGTGAAGGAGGTCAGATGGCAGAATATTAAGGAAAGTTCTCTTTATGTCACTACAACTCTTGGGACAACCTACCCATTTACTTTAGGTTTCAAGAGGCTTCACCTGAAGTACATGCCCATTTCTTGTCCCTTTTGAAACAGTTCTGCTTTAATTAGACTATGTGCCTGTCTCCTTGCTGACCCTAGTGCTGCTGCCTAGGCACCGTTTCCTTTCCTCCTGAGTAAAATATGGGCTGCACATTTTGTCACTTAATGCCAGTACAATCTATATTACTCCAAAGGATCTCTGGGAGCTTGATGGGACCTGCAAGGGAGAAAACGCTGAGAAGCCGGTGATCTGCAAGCTTTTGCTCTTGTTTCCATATCACCTCAGATTTTCAGCTGTTGTTTCCAAGTGGCAAGATGTCAACTAAACAGAAACACTTGTTTCAAGTTTTGTTCTGCACTCCCAAGACTGAAGTTGTAGATTCAGCTGAATAACCATGGGAAATGACCACGCAAAGACACCTGATAGGAGTCAGTTGAATTTTCGCAGCCTCAGTGGGGCCCTTCTGGTGTTTTCTTCCACTTCTGCAGAATTTCCTGCAGCAAATATTTCTTCCTCCTTGCTTTCCTCCACCGTGATATTCGGATAAGAGATTGCCAGAGGATATTTATCTCTTTAAAAAACTAAAAAACTAGAATCTTCAATGAGCAGTTATTATGAAAATTGCTAATGGTGCCAAGGCCAAGGAAAGAGTTTCAGAAAATGACTGTGAGGAGTGATAACCCCCAGAATGCAAAATCAGGGGAGTATTATAATCTGGTGCTTGAACAAGGAGCTCCACTTTACAACTGGTTTTTTTAGGACTTGTGAGGAACGCAGCAACAGGAAATCCATCCACAAAGGATGCAGTGCCCCAACTTGTACTGCACCTGAATAGTTATGTGATAATTTACTGAAGAAATCTAGTGTACTTTAAATTTTTTTCATAAAAGTTTACATTGTATTGTAGGTTAACATTAAATGTTTTATAACAAATTTCATACAAGCTGTGGGTCTTTCTGTCTAGGAGAGGTGCAGTTGATATCTTTCTATGTGTGAATGAAAGGTTGAAAAGCCTTGGGGAGGGAACAGGGCATTGCATTCCCAAGAAGCAAGGGAGAATCAAAGAGAAGCAAGGAGTTAAAATAGGTCTTCTGGGGGCTGGTCAGTTCTCAGGTGGTTAGAAGGTGTTGTAACAACAGGATCGGGTTTGGATCAAGGTTTTGGCCAGCTACCAAAAATAAATAAAGGTAGGTCTTCTGTATTGGATTCCTGTGAAAAATAGCAACACTTAGGCAGTATGGTATAGTAGAAAGAGCAGACAGATCTGGGTTCAAATTTGGGCTTTGTCATTTGTCAGCTTTGTGACCTCAGGTAAGTTCTTTAGCTTCCATGAGTTTTAGTTTCTCCAACTCTAAGTGAAAATAATGCCACCTGCCTCAGGATTGGTTTGTAGATTAAATCAAATAAAGGTATATGAAGCACCTGACACATAGTACAGGCCATTAAGTATTTTTCCCCTTCTCCCAAGGGACTGTTCTGAAGGAATATTTTCTTGCAATAATAATTTCTTAAGGAATTTGTTATTTCTCCTGTTAGAACAGACCTATGTCCTTGCAAAGGAGTAACTAGAGAAGAGTTACTTCTGACTAGTTCTAACAGACTATTGGAATTCCCCTCCTACGGTATTTTTCCTCATGTTTTCATTTCTGAAGGGAAACATAAGCCTCAGTTTTCCACCTTTCTCTTCCCCACTATCCTTATGCAAAGAATTCATTCCTTGAATTAGTTGTTACCTGCATTGTTTGCCCTGTTGTGTATTCAAAGATGTGGGACCTTCGTTTTTAAAATGAGTATGTTAAGTGTAAACTAGAATATGTACTCAGTCTAGTAAGTCTGAAAGAAGAGTTTATTCACTAAAGTCAGAAGCCACTAAAAATGAACATTTCACAATTGATTGTGAAGGTTAAGTATAAAAATTTTGCCATCAATTAACAAAGTCAAAGGATTCAAACTCTGATGCCAGAGTCTCCTTGTTCTAAATCCTGGCTGTGGCCATGATTTTGGCCAAGTGACAACTCATTAGGCCTAAGTTTCATCATCTATAAATAGGGCTGATTTGTAGCATTGCTGTGAAGATGAAGAGAATTGCCGTTACAGAGTGCCTGACATGCAGTAGGTGTTTGGTAAGTAATACCACCTATTCCTGTTTTCAAAACAGTTTGTAGTTTACTCACTACTAAAGGTTTACCCTAGCTGTGGATAAGGCAAGGAGAGAGAGCAGAGGTGGTGAGGTTTAGGCATTGCATATTGGCAGATAGTGCTTGCCACTTTTTTTCTGGACACTTTTCTGACATTGCAATTGGAACTCCATGTGTACTTTTACCCTGATGGAGCCTTGATCTCCCAGAGTCCCTTCCTCATTCCCGTGAGCTCAGCTACCATACATGCTGAGCTTCTCACAGACCTCTCCCCTTCTGTATTTGTCCCTATTGCTAACTGATGATACCCCCAAACTCCCAGATTTCTTTCCCTTAAACTGAAATTTGGTTTTCCCTTGAAGATAACCCTTACTTCAAAAATCCCTTAAGCAGAGGCCACTTATTTTTCCACGAATATCAGCACCAGGAAACAGGATCTGTATTTCTCTTCTGCCAGTTTGATACAAGGTCCTGCAGGACGGTGCTGATGCACATGCCATCTGTTTGGCCTACTTTGTCCTATTCTGGTTGTTACTAGCCATTTTCCATTGTTGGTCACTGATATTTTCACCTCTACCAGCAAACTAAGTGACTCCCACACCTACATATGTGGATTCCCTAAAATTTTGGTATTACTATTTGTGATTTAACTTGTATGGCAGCTGAGTATGGTGGAAAGAGGCTTTGAAGTCCAATCTGGATTTGAAATTGTTCTGCTTGCTGACTGGTCTAGGGCAAATCATTGACATCAGAATCTGTTTCCTCATCTATAAATATTGTAGTAGATCCCTGCCATGTTTAGATGAGCTGGTGTCCTTTGGATAGGTGGGTGCTTAGTAAACATTAGCTTCCTTCGCTCCTATCCCTCTCCCAGCAGTGCCATTCTTCACTTGGAACTGCTTCACTCTCAGGTCCTCAACACCAATCCCTCTCACCACAGCCTTTATCTCTCCAACTGCCACTGTCCTTGCTCTTCCCACAAAGCTTTTCTCTACCTCTCCACTCATCTCAGTTCTCCCTTCTAGGACTTTTTTGGCTTCATTCCCCTCTCCACTACAAGCCAGTACTGATTCAATTCCCGAAGTAAACTCAACCATTTGATTTCTCTCTTGCTCCTTCAGCTGTAGGATCCTAGTGTACATCAGAGCAAACTGAGGAGCCCTGGGTTTTGGTGCCCATTCTTCAATCCAGCTTTAGGAAACCTGTGCCTTTCTGACACATATGGACTGCTCCAATGTGTCCACCTTTCTCAATTCAACCCTTCCCACTTCCACTTCATCCTAAGCCCATTACTACAACAGCCTACCTCCTGGGAGAAACAGGTTTTGTCACAGAACTTCGTCATCTTCCTTTTTCACCTCAAAATTGTTTCGATGTCACCTGCTTCCTCTTCCCCTTCCATCTTGTGGCTCTATTTTTTTTTAATGAGATGTACTTTGCATACAGTAAAATGCTCAAATCTTAAATCCATAGCTTGATAAATTTTTAACTATATAAACACCAAAATCAAGATCCAGAATACTCCCTTCAACCCAGAAAGTTCCCTTTTGTGTCTTCTCAGTCAATAGCGCTTTCAGAGATAACCACTATTCTGACTTCTTTGACCACAGAAGTTTTGTGTGTTTTTAAGCACTTTTTTTTTTTTTTTTTTTGGTGGCCTGTGGGTACAGGTATCCGAACCCGTGACCTTGGTGTTATAAGGCTGCATTCTAACCAAATGAACTAAGCAGCCAGCCCCTGTTTTTAAACTGTGTGTGTGTGTCTGTATGAGAGAGAAAGAGAAAGATTTTATAATTTATTTTCCTGATTGAAGTTTAGTTCCTTATATCTTTTTAAATGGCTGCACAGCATTTCACTGAATGGATGAAACATAAATGGATCAAAATCCAAATCCTCATGACATTTATGTTAAACTTTTTATTTTCTAAATAGATTGATAAACATCCCTGTAGCTAAGGCCGGCCCGTGGCTCACTTGGTAGAGTGCGGTGCTGATAACACCAAGGACACGGGTTCGGATCCTTTATAGGGATGGCCGGTTTGCTCACTGGCTGAGCATGGTGCTGACAACACCAAGCCAAGGGTTGAGATCCCCTTACCGGTCATCTTTAAAAAAAAAAAAAAAAAAATCCCTGTAGCTAAATGTGCACATCCATGCTAGTTTTCTCAAGAGACAAAAAAAAAAAAAATCCTAGACATGAAGTTGCTAAGTCTAAAAGGGATAGAAATTTTTACCTTTTTTAATGTTTGTGTTATGTCCAAATTGTAGTCCAGAAAGGCATTTATATTCCTACCAGCAGTGTATGAGTGTGTGCTCAGTCTCCCATTTGTCAAAATCTCCAGAATCTTTACCAATGGTCCCTTTTGGATTGATTCTCTTTATCTTCCCTCTAAAAATGTTTGGTATCTCCTCCCTTACAAAACCTCAATCTTGCTTTAAATACAAGTCACCTCCCTGTCTCCTTCCCTGCCTGGATAGCTTGCACAACCAGCCTCCACTTCCTTCTTAACCTCCTGTAATTGAACTTTCATCTTCACTGACCACCTCTTATGGTCACCTGTGACCTCCTAATTACCATCCTCACTGGCCTCTTAACCATACCTTTCTGAATATACAAATTCCCCAGCTGGTACCAGCCATAGAGTACGTGTCCCCTTGTCTCTTCCCACACGTTGGAGGTCAGATTATGTGAACTAGGTTAAGCAATTCACACTTTGTCCCGAGGGCAACTGAAGGGCTTTAAGCAAGAGACACACATCAGATTTGAGTTTTAGATAATTTTGTCATGGTGGGGAGACTGGATGTGAGGGGGCAAGATAGCAGGCAAGGCTAAAAGGCGACATGATGGAGTCTTGAATTAGAAGTGGCATGGGGATGGAAAGAGGTTGATAAAGGACATGAGAACTACTGAGAAGGCACAGTTACCAAGTCTTGGATGCTGATTAGATAGGGCGAGGGGGTGGCAGAGAATGAAAAATGGAGGATGCTGCACAGGTTTCTGACCAGGACAACTGGATTTAAGAACAATGAGGGTCACTGGTGACATTGACAGGTGCTAGTTCAGTGGAGTATGGTGTCAGAAGGCAGAAATAACAAATGGGAGGTAAGGAAGTGGAAAGATTAAATAGAGGTAACTCTCACAAAATTTGTGGGTGAAAGAGATGGAGGGGAATAGGACAGAATCCAGAGAGAAGCCAGGATTGAGGAAAGGTTGTTTATTTGTTCCAAGATAGGAGAGACTTCATTATGCTTAAATGCTAAAAGTAATGAGATTTTAGAGGAAGAGATTGAAGATACTCCGAGAAAGAAGATAAAGATGTCACTGGGAGTGGCCTTAGGAGGAAGGATATGAGAAGTTGGTGTTTTTGTAGGTTCGAAAGCAGCAGTTGAGGGTTCTATTCTCTGTCAGATCAGGGGAGCTGATAGGGTCAGAGGTCTAAGAAGGGAGGGGAAGACTTGCAATAGCTGCTTCAGAGATTAAAAGATTAGGAAGATATAGAAGGCTTTCTGGACAATACTGAGGACCCAGGTGAGACTGAGGTGTAGTGGGGGCAGATAGAAAAACTCAGGCACATGTCACCACTCTACCTCTGTCACTGCTGCCAATTTCTTTCCGAAAGCAGATTGCATGCGGGCATTCAGAAGCTCTCAGTGCCCCCTTTGTCCAAGGTGAAAGTCCAGCTCCCCAGATAGATGTTGGGGGGCCTCAACACTGGAGCCATTGCTTAACTTCACAGCTTTGTTCTTCCCTGTTCCTCCACATGGTCACACTAATTAGCCCCATGGATCTCCTGATTGTT